TATATATATATACTTTTCCATATTTTGGTTAATTCATTTTCTCATACTTAAGGTTATTGTTGAAACTAGGTTATTTTAATGATAAAAATTATTGGTTTGTGGCAAAAATTTGTATTCGGGAAGTAAGATGTAAAATGTAATTTGAGGTTATTATAATGTTATGAAATTTAGAGATTTCCTCTTTAATAAAATTGTTGCTGTGAATTGATTGAATTTATAATGAGGAATAATATTTCATTCCTTCTAATTATCACTTGATTATTTTCAATTATAGGAGTTTAGAAAAATGAAGACATTTATCTCAGAACAATTGCTGCTTGATAACATTTGCCTCATAATCTAAATAATTCACTGCGGTTATTTCTTTCGTTATTTTTGTTGATTTTGATTTGTCACTGTTGTTCTGATATTATAACTATATAGGGTCTCGCTTATGGGTTAGTGCACAAAAGTTGGTGCCATCATTGTCATTCCAAGTTTGAATTAGAAATAAAATCTATTCGGTTTGTTGGCAGCTTCCATTCTACTCCTGTGAAAAATACTTCTTTGCCGAAAGTCAAGGTAAATGAAATACATTTAATTTCACTCAATCAGCTGTTCTTTTTTGGAATTTTCAGATTATGCTAATTCAAATGTGCGCAAAATTAAATCGATTCAGTTTTAAGTATATCATCATTATGAACAGTATCAAACTTTCTTTACGTGTGTTACGCATTATTTTTTTGATGAGAATCAAAACATGGCTTTGCAAAAGCTATCGATTTTGATGAAAATCTGAGTTTTAATGTAGAAGATTATTATTATTCATCTTCTTATGTTCCAAATCTTATCTTTCCATTTATTTTATGATTTATCAGATCATCAAATATTTTTCACAGCAGAAAAAGTCTAAACCAAATCATGCGGTAACAGTTGTTGAAGGACAGCCACTTCCGGAAAATGGAACATGCAGACATTATAAGAAAAGTTACCGATGGTTCAGGTCTTTTATTAGAAAATTAATTGATTCAGCGAGCACTTTTTCTATTTTTAGTGGTAGTCAAAATCCTCAACGTAATGACCGTTTAGGTTTGCTTGTTGTGGCAAACTGTACCCGTGTGATTTGTGTCATAAGGACGCCGAAAAAGATCATGAAACGAAACTTGCAAATAGGATAGTCTGTGGTTTTTGCAGCAAAGAGCAGGTAGTAAATACGGTTGATATATAATGTTTCTGGTCGGTAATGACTGAAAAAGAAATATATTCATGTTATTGATAAAGAGTGATTTTTTATGTTTATTAGGAAATTCAATGACTTTCTCGTAATATGATTGTTTAAATAATTGTTGTATTGATCAAAAATGATACACTTGAACTTTATACTTCAACGTATTTTTTTTGAAAAGTCTGTTGCGCATAACTATGATATTGATTTTCAGCCTTTCCAGAAAACAAAGCCATGTATAAACTGTAAGGAAAATGTTACGCATAGAAAGTCGCGCTTTTGGGAAGGTGGAAAAGGATGTCGAGATGGAACTGTGATGAGCAGGCAATGTCTTTCTTAATTTGCATTGAAGGAAATAATAAAGTTCTATCTATCATCTACAGGAAATATGGGTATATAGAGGGAAGTGTCATTTTTTTATTGAGTCGAAATAATTGTAACATTTCAGTCCTAGTGCAAAACAGGTTTCATAATTTTTAAACTTGCAGAAAAGACTCGAGAAAATATGCTAGTGGACTGATGAAGACTATTCCGAAGAAGAATGTTTTTAATGTGTCGGCTAGAAAAAATACTAGAAATAATAGTTTTTAACATTAGATCTGTTAAAAACCGTTATTTCTTATATTGGAAAAATTCATATTCTAAAATTCCTATAATATAAACAGGATAAAGGTATTTGAAGATTTGTTTCATCTAAGATCAGTAATATCTAAATATATTGTTGATTTTCATTCTTTGTAAGCTTATTGATTGTCGTTGCCGAAATATAGATTCACAACTTGACTTTAAAGTGTAAACACTTATTAAAATATTAAAATTTTTCTTAAAAATTGTTTCTAGAATTTTGAAATTGATGATAATGATTTGACATTTATTTATGGCGATAATGGCTTAACATTGCATTTGTTTTGTTTTGTTTTGTTTTGTTGTTCTAATATTTTTTTAGGAAAACTCTTTGATTAGGTCATATGTGCCTCAAAAAGTACGGATCCAAAATAGTATTGTACTGTTATTCACTTATGTGGTCTGCTGAAGTGAATTTTAATGTCTTCTAGTTATTTTTGTTCGGACACAGCATCTGTTATTAACATGACCTCATATTTTTTTATTGTCAGTACACTTTTGTTTTTGCTAAAAGTTCAAGGACTCATTCTTGTTGCGTGAAAAAGGATTTGTTCTGTCAATATTATTTTTAGTTAAGTTGTCTATGTTAGCATTTTTTGGTTAATTTTTTCATAAAAAGGATACAACATTTATAGCGTAGTCTTTTATAAATTGATTATTGAATCGGAAATCATGTCTGAAACAGAGAATCAGTCGCATGAAGTGATTTGCACATCCAGTAATCGTCGCTTAATTTGGAAATTATTAACTGTTTTACGAGCTGTAGTTGGTATGTTCACAACTATAGGTAAGGTTTTAAATTTAAAATAGAAGAGTATTAATTGTTGACGGGTAACGGAAATATGGTAAGTGTGTCGTTCAACGCTGAAGAATAAATTAATAATTGTGAAATTTTTAAATGGTTAAAATTTCTAATATTAAGGATTAAAAATTATGATTTTTCATCCTATAACTACATGGCAATGATTCATGCCATCATCACGCACTATTCAGCGTCAAAGTGGTAGTTACAAATTTTTTCGTAAAGAATTTGCTGATAAAGTTCCGAAGTTTTCGCCATTGTTTTTATTTGAAAACTAATTCCTCTTTTTATGATCTATAACGTATATTAAAATTTTAGCGAGTTTTCCTGTTTATCAGTAAGAAGTGCTGTTAGATTAGTGGTTGAGGATTCTGCTTCACTTTGGAAATTGCTTTCGCTGTGATTTGTTGAGTCATAGCAATATTTTTTTTGTGATTTGCTCAGTTGTAGTAATTTTAAATAGTATTTTTCAAAATTGAAATAGAATAGAGAAATGATTAACCTGTGAAATGATCTTTTCTTCAAAATTGGTGCCCAGTTTTTGCAATTATTTTTCAACCTAAGATCAAAACGAGCTGAAATTCTTTGCTAACTGCTAATGAAATACTTCACAGATCTCGATATTAACCTATCCTCTAATTGTAGTGGTTTGGATATCAGCAATCGCTTCAGTCTTGTCAGATAATGGATTAGCTTTTGCAATATTTTTGGTTATTGTTGGAATGTTCTCATCCGTACTTGAATCCAGCCACGTTCTCCGTCTTTGTTTCGAGTTTGTTTTCGGCAGCAAAAGCCTTTTTTTGATTGAAAAACATCCATAATTTTGAATAAAGTAATGCGGTAGATTTTTACTGGTTTGTGTGGCTTTTTTGCGAAATTGGTATTCACTTAAGAAAATAGGAGAGGGCTTTATTTCAGTTATTTATTGATTATTTGGGGTTTTTCGCACAAAATTTTAGTCGCAAAAGGATGCATCTGAGCTTACTTTCATGGCTTACTTTGTAGAGCTAAAAGTGTTTGTGGTCGAGCTTGTATGCGGATTGCTTTTTTCGATGGTATAATGCGTGGAACACTGTATTTATTTTTTGCATTTTCTTGCTTGTATCTTGAATTAACTCTCCCAAGTATTTTTTCAGGTATTTATATGCCTTCACTGCACTGAATCTAATACTTTTTCAGTAAAATTGCTTACTTCGTGAACAACTATATAAATTGTTTTATTAATTAAGATGTACAGTATAGATAAACGGGCATGCTGTGAGAATTTACTTCAAATAAATGATTTCTAAGTGATTGAAGCAATTTTGTTTGCAAGAAACGCTTCAAATGCATCAAATGCATCGTTTTTTAAATCGATATTTGAAAATATCCGAATATTATTAGAAATTTAGGCGCTATATTTGCAAAAAAAATTGTTATAGATAAAATGTTAGGCTGTAAAGTTTGTCATAGTTCATCTGAAGTGAGTATTATAGATGTATTGAACTGAAGCGAGCACTTAGTAATTTTTCTTAATTGGTTAGACTTTATGTCAGGTTTTTTCTTGATGATATCAGGCATTCTCTACTCACTGAAGCAATTTCAAATAGTAAGTGCTGCAACATTTGAAGAAAAACAGTCTGTAATACCGATGACAGTTCGATGACTGCAGAATTTTCAGACTATTAAAGCGAAGTCGTTTATTTATGACTCCAGATATCTAATTATATATATATATATATATATATATATATATATATATAT